TTTCTTTCTCTTTCTCTCTTTCCTTCCTCCCTTCTTCCCTTCCCTCCCTTCTTTTATCTTTTCTTTCTCTCTTTTCTCTCTCTCTCTCTCTCTCTTTCTCCTCCCCCCTTTTTTTAAGTAGGTAGGCTGCATGCTCAATGTGGAGCTTGAACTTATGATCCTGAGATCAAGAGTTGTATCCTCTATCAATGTTGTCAGCCATGTGTCACCTCCCTTTAAAAAAAAAAAAAACAAAAAACAAAACAAAACTTTATATCTTAATTAGTCCTCAACTTTACCATATAAAGTTGGTACTATTATCCTGTTGATGAAACTGGGGCATTGAGACCTAACTTGTTATGGTCACAAAATTAGTAACTGGATTAGTAGGCCTGTCCGATGCAGGAGTGTTGGTTCTTTGCACCTTTGCTCTTTGCCTGACTTCTCAAATGACCACAGAGGTTATTTCTAGCAGTTACTCCAAAACCAGGGTAGGCAATTTTAATGACACAGTCCATGGCAGTATTACAGACAGTGGCAGGATGGGGCATCAACTAGAAGACTGTGGAGGCTCTCAGAGGAAGAGCAAATTTGGGCAAGGAAGCTCAGTCATGATACCTACGCAAGTCAAGTAATCACAATTTATTTATTCTACAAATATTTGTCGAGTGCCTACACTGTGTGAGACACTGTTCTAGATGTTAAAGATATGGTACTGAATAAAACACAAAATCTCCTGCCTTCATATGGAATCAATATGTTATGTTTTGTACAGCAAAGAAGAAAACCATCAAAACAAAAAGACAACCTACTGAATGCAAATTATTTGCAAATGATATATCTGATAAGGGGTTAATATCCAAATATATAAAGAATTTACATAACTCAACACCAAAAAAAAAAAAAGCAACTCCTCCAATTAAAAAATGTGCAGAGGGGGCACATTTTTTAATGTGGATCAGTGATTGGATGGATCCAATCCAGTGATTGGATGGATCAGGGTGGATCAGTGATTGTGCATCTGCCTTTGGCTCAGGTCGTGATCCCGGGGTCCTCGGATGGAGTCCCACATTGTGCTCCCTGCAGATAGTCTGCTTTTCCCTGTGCCTATGTCTCTGCCTCTTTCTCTCTCTGTGCCGCTCATAAATAAATAAAATCTGTAAAAAAAAAATGTGCAGAGGACCTAAATCAATATTTTTCCAAAGAAGACATATAGATGGCCAACAGATACACTAAAAGATGCTTGACATCACCAATCATCAGGGAAATGCAAATCTAAATCACAGTGAGATATCACCTTATAGGATACCTGGGTGACTCAGCAGTTGAGTGCATCTGCCTTCAGCTGATGGCATGGTCCTGGAGTACCGGGATTGAGTCCTACATTGGGCTCCCTGCATGGAGCCTGCTTCTCCCTCTGCCTGTGTCTCTGCCTCTCTCTCTTTCTGTGTCTCTCATGAATAAATCAAATCTTTAACAAAAAAGAGATATCACCTAATACTTGTCAGAATGGCTAAAATAAAAAAAGACAAGAATAACAAAGTGTTGGTGAGGATGTGAAGGAAAAGGAATCCTTGTACACTGTTGGGGGTGGGGGGGAACAAGTGCAGTGTGGAAAATTGTATGGCAGTTTCTCAAAAAGTTAAAAAGTAGAACTATGATATGATCCAATAATTCCACTGCTGGGTATTTACCCAAAGAAAACAGAAACACTAATTCCAAAAGATATATGCACCCCTATGCTTATTGCAGCATTATTTACAATACATAAGGTATGGAAGCAGCCCAAGTGTTCAATGATAGATGAATAGGTAAGGAAAAATGTAATATATACATATAATGGGATATTACATAGCCATGAAAAAAGAGGAGATTGTACCATTTGTGACAACACTAATGGACCCGGAGGGTACTATGCTAAGCAAAATAAATCAGACAAGACAAATACCAAATGATTTCACTCATCTGTGGAATCTAACAAAAAACAAATGAATAAGCAAAAAAGCAGAATCAGACCTATAAATACAGAGAACCAACTGATGGTTGCTAGAGGGGACAGGGTGGTGGGGATGGGCAAAATGGGTGAAGGGCAATAGGAGATACAGGCTTCCCCTAATTATCATTTGTGTTATGTTGGCAACTGTTTCATTTGTCTAAATTTTGTCTCTGTCTCTAGAATATGGGTCCTTTTAAACTCCACTTGGTGTCCCCTGTCTTTTATCACATAGGCTGACCCAGGGTTTAAGTGGGGGGAGGTGATGATGGGGTGATGGAGGAATTTTGTTTTATTGCTGTTCTTATTTTGTTTTATACTTTGAATCCATATGAAACTACCTCCTACAGCTTTCCAGGAGCTAATTGTGAAATTCTGTAGCACTGTTCATACCCTACTGCAGCTATGATATACTAAATATTACTACTTAGAATGGGAAATGGGATTCTCCAACTAATAGCAGTGGCATCACCTGAAACCTGTTAGAAAGGCAGAATCTGGGGCTCCTCCCCAGCCCCACAAAATCATAATCTACATCTTAATAAGATCCCCAGGTAATCCAAATGCACATTAAAATTTGAGAAGTGCTGCTCTAAAGGGCTTCCAATTCTTTAGAATGAAAGCAACATTAAAATAAGGAGGAAATAGGGCAGCCCGGATGGCTCAGCGCTTTAGTGCAGGCTTCAGCCCTGGGCCTGATCCTGGAGACACGGGATCAAGTCCCACATCAGGCTCCCTGCATGGAGCCTGCTTCTTCCTCTGCATGTATCTCTGCCTCTCTCTCTCTCTCTCTGTGTGTGTGTGTGTGTGTGTCTCTCATAAATAAATATATAAAACCTTTTAAAAAAATAAGGAGGAAATAAAGGTAAACAATTTGTGATTTCAAGCATAGGATGGAGCTGGCTTACTGAATCGAGGAAGACTCTCCAAAGTCACTGTTAGATACCAGGATGTACTGTCTCTCAAAAATTCCAGGAGTTCCAAGAGTCTTTCCTCTACTGGTCTGAGGCAGGGGTCTAAGAGGTTGTCGTGTTATTGTTGGCAAAGATTGCTAGACCCCACTCTAAGTAAAGAAACTGAGTAACTCTTAACTTCTCACAGCCTTAGGGTCCTCATTTGTAAAAATAACCACAAACAAAACCCCAAAAGGCTGAATGATCATTTCTCCCTTCTCTAAAAGGCTTTTAATTCATTTCACTTCTTTCGAGAGAAACTGCCTTCTTCTCAGTACTTTAAAAAAATGTTAATGCTTCTACAAGTAGTTATTAACAAGCTAGGAACTCTAATTAATGCAAATTGATTTCTTCCTGGAAAAGAATCGAAGGCTCTGTAAGGAGAGGTGATAATGAAAGGAGAAGAAAAAAGAAAGAGAAGAGAGAAAATACACACACATATACACAGGTTTACTTGTTTTGCTTTACTTGACATGTTGTTGCAGGCTACTTTGGCAATGGCCTGTTAAAAAAGTATCTCCCATTTTTTCATTTTAACCCATGATAGCCTACCTCATATAACCTTGCCACGGCCCCTGCACCTCCCCCCACCCCCGCCACCTTTTTTACACCGCGTGAAGGAACAAGGAGAGCCATCAGACACCAAATTCACCTACTTTTCAGTTGTGCTGTGCCTGGGAGAATGGCGGTGGAGCTGAGACCCGCGGCAGCCTTGGGAGTGGAGAGCTGCTCTTCCTGCAAGTCCTTCTTCTTCCCGCCCGATTGGAATACTTCCACAAAACTGATTAGGTAAATTCCCCTAGCACCCGCTCCTCCTCATCAAAAGTGCAGTTGCTCTGCAGGTTGCTACTGTGTAAATGACAGACTGTCCTCAGAGAGCTCAACTTTATTCCCAAAGAAGAGGTCCCCAGCCAACTGGCCACTCCCAGGGAACTCTCCAAGGTTCCAGGCTGTGGACGTAGGAGACAGGGTTCCTGACGCAGCCTGAGGCTCGCAAAACCTCAACAGGAATTCCCAGAGTGACCCCAGCCACCAGTGTGAGGAGGCAGGGCAGGATTCCTCCATAGTAAAACCTTCAGGGTTTGATTGGGACCCTCTAGGGACGAGCAATGGACCCCTAGTATGCTAACGACTTGGAGTTTCTCAACACCTTCGCCACCAGTGCAGGTCCAGCCAAGGGTTCCCAAGTGAGATGTCTCAGCAGATCAACTTGGAAGAGTCAATTTTGTATTCATGATAAAAGTAAACTCAGAACCAACTACAAGTATAACAAAATATATAAATTGTATTCTCTCTTGATTCACCCCACCTCCATAACCACCTTCCAATTTCATATGAAAACGAGGCTAGGGCGGCCCGGGTGGCTCAGAGGTTTAGCGCCGCCTTCAGCCCAGGGCGCGATCCTGGAGACCCGGGATCGAGTCCCACATCGGGCTCCCGGTGCATGGAGCCTGCTTCTCCCTCTGCCTGTGTCTCTGCCTCTCTGCCTCTCTCTCTCTCTCTCTCTCTCTCTATCATAAATAAATAAAAATAAAAAAAAATTAAAAAAAAGGAAAGAAAACGAGGCTAATTTCTAATTTTCACAGCGTTTTCCTCCTCTCTAGGTGCAGTTTTAAAGTAGCAGCAAATTTAAGCGCGAGAGAGTTTACGCCTCTCTCAAGAACATCACTTGAGAACAGGTCATCTACATATAAGCCCAGTGCAAACAAACTGGTCATCCAATAAATCCATGATTTCGCTAAAAATAATTCCCTGCCTCCCCAGCCCCTTCGTGGTCACACTTTTCGAAGAAGAGCGGCAAAACCTCGCTTACTGTTTGGAGGGACGCTTCCGGAGAAGCTCGCGCCCCGAAGCGCCCCAAGTCCCCAGGCAGGCTGGTTGACGACAGCCAACCCCTCCCTCCGGCGGCGCAGTTCTCGGAGGCCTCAGCTCCGCGCAGGGAACCCCAGTCCCGCGGGCCCCGGCGGGTGCCGCTTCGGCCCCATTTCCGCTCCTGCGGCCCCCAGTCCTCGTCCCCGCCCCCTGGATCTCAACTTCCCCTCCGCTCTTCCCAAGGCGAAGACACCCGCCCATACCTGCGCTTCCTCGTCCTCCGTCACCACCCCGATTACCGGGATCCGGCGAAGGCTGCTGGACCGGATCTTGCCGCCAGCTTCCTGGGCTTCGGCGGTCGCCGCGGCCTCCGCCACGGACATGTCCGCCGCGTGGAGTGAGGGATGGGTGGGAGGGCCCGTCCCCCTGTCCTACCCGTTCTCCGTACCGTAGGACCCAAAGAAGCCCTGCCACCGACAAGGGAAGGCCTCCTGAGAGCCGCTAGAGTCGCAAAAAGCCCCAGGTGTCCGGCAGCGGCCTCCGCGGCCGCATCACGCCCGCCGCAGCCCACCTGCGGACTTTAGCTCCCGCCTCCGGCCGGCCGGTTGCTAACACGCCAGCGCGTTGCTAGGGGGCGGGGCTGGGGCGGCAGCGGCGCCGCGCTCTTACGGAAGCCGGCGGTGCCAAACTACCCCAAACCCTAGTGTGCACCTCCGCGCTCGCCGGGGCCCGGTCCGCTCCCGCGCGGGGAGGAGGCGGCTGGAGGAGACCCGGGTGCGTAGCCGTGGCTGTTACCTTGGCGTTGTGTGTCTCCGTCTTGCTAGTTTGCTCTGGGGCTTCTAAAAATAATAATGAGTGGGTAGAGGTGAGAGGGTGTCGGACACGAGAGTGATGGATGATGGGTACCTAGTGCTGGAAGCGGAGCAGTTTATCTCCCCTCAAAGGGACCAGCGCCACCCACACTCCCTCCCTTTTACCTCTTCTGTACTTCAGTGCCCCTACCAGACACTTACATCAAGGCATGGTACAGTGTTTCGGGCTGTGGGGTCAAATCGGGGAATCGAGAGCAGCTTGACCCTTGGAAGCCTCGCTTTCCCCATCTTTCCTCATCAGTCTTTCACTTTTCTCAGCAATAGGATTTCTAGGAGGATGGAAGGAGATGGTAGTTTTGTAGAGCGGGGCTTGGCACACGAGAAGTACCCCCGGGCAAAGGGTCAAGACTGTCATTGTCTTTATCACTACTGTGTTATCTGTCCATTGTATCCTGAGTGAGGACACAAGAAAGGTCAAGACTTGAATGAAAAGATGCTCATGGTAATCGTGGATATAACTTAACCACCCCAACACCGCGGCTGTGAAAACTTAGCTTAAAATCCTTTAAACTGGGTTGCCAGGGTGGCTTAGTGGTTGAGGGCCTGCCTTTGGCTCAGGGTGTGATCCCAGTCCCAGGATGGAGTCCCACATCGGGCTCCCTGCATGGAGCCTGCTTCTCCCTCTGCCTGTGTCTCTGCCTCTCTGTCTCTCATGAATAAATAAATAAAATCTTAAAAAAAAAAATCCTTTAAACCGGACGCCTGGGGGCTCAGAGGTTGAGCATCTGCCTTCCGCCCAGGGCCTGATCCTGGAGACCCGGGATCGAGGCCCACAAAGGGCTCCCTGCATGGAGCCTGCTACTCCCTCTGCCTGTGTCTCTGCCTCTCTGTCTCTCTCTGTTTCTCATGAACAAATAAATGAAATCTTAAAAAAAAAAAAAAATCCTTTAAACCTGAAATTTTTTTTATTTTAGTCTCCAAAAACTCTCCCAAGAGTTAGACGTGACTTTTTATATTGTCAATAAAGTTTATGGCCTTAAAAATTATATAGAACAAATTGCGTGAAAATAAATTTCACAGCACCTCTCAGCATTTCTCTCATTTGTACAAGGAGCTGGGTGATCAGTGATTTCTAAGGTTCCTTTAACCAGTTCAAACATTTGACATTTGACTGAATGACATTTCTGGCGATACAAATAAAAGGAAACGGGAAAACTAGATTGGGCCTGGCAGCACTTGATGTAAATCATAGCCAAAGAAATCAAACTTTTTTGAAAGAATTGAGCATCTAGTCCCCTTTCTTCACTTATGTTCATTCTTCCACTTTCCTCATCCCAGGTTCCCTGAAACTGTCCTGAGGTCACTAACACTTGTGGTGAAAGTCTGTGAACACTTTCCTGTCCTCATCTTGCTGTACTTATCTCCAATATTTGACCCTATTAACTACTTTCTCCTTGAAACCCTCTGATCTTCAGCATTCTTTTTGTTCTTCTTTTATCTTTACAGTTACTCATTGGTATTTTTAAAGCTCCTCTCAGGCCTTATAACTAGAGGTGGTGGGTTCAGTAGGTCTAACGTTGCTGTTACTCCAGGAGAGTGTAAAAGGGTGTGTTAAGTGTATTAACACCTGCTAAATTGACATTGCACATTCTGAGTAGACCACATCAAAAGGAGACTGAAATCACTTGAGTAAACACAATGGAATCCTGTGAGAATGGCACCTAAAAACCAAGATAGTCTGGAGAGGTGACAATTGAGTGATTTGTTTATTCTTTGTGTGTTGAGCCTCACATCAAAGATGAGGAAAGATGAAGGAGGGACTGTAAAGAAGAATTTTCCACCTAAAGCAGAGCTTAGGAGTTATCTACTATTGTGTTTCAGCACAATAAGCTGAATCTGATAAGGGTCCATAAACCTCAGTGATTGGAAAATCACTCTCTCTTCATTGGACTTAATTGTAGGCACTTTCCTAACATATGAACACAAGGATTTTAATTTTATTTCAATTGTATACAAACCAAAAAAAAATTGTATACAAACCTATATATTCATTCTATGTCCACTGCACCTGTTTCCAATGCTTAATTAGCATAACTCCTGTGAACTTCCTCTTTCTAGCACTTAAAATCCCCCCCCCCCAGTGAAATCAGTGAAATTCTTCATTGAAATCGATTCCCTTACCTGGGAAGTTAGTAGATCCAGCTTTGTAATTTTTTAAAAAATCTCTAGTGGTATGTTTTACTCTTTGACAGGTGAGAAGCAACCAGGATGGAAGTGCCAACACTCCACATTCAATACTTCTTTCCATCCTCTGTTAGATGCCACTTTGTTGTTTTTTTTAAAGATCTTATTTATTGATGAGAGAGAGAGAGGCAGAGAGAGACACTGGCAGAGGGAGAAGCAGGCTCCCTGTGGGGAGCCCGATACAGAACTCTATTCTAGGACTCTGGGGTCACACCCTGAGCCAAAGGCAGACACTTAACCACTGAGCCACCCAGGTGCCCCCGTAATTTGGTTTTGTACTCACCATATACTTTTTGATATTTATTATAGTCTCAGCTGCCCAACCCCTTACTACTAGAGGCTTTTGAAAGCAAGGAGAACCTCTCACCCAGATTTGCCCCCAAATCCTCAGTATAGTATCTAGAGTAGTGTTTCTCAAAACTTAGCATCTGTCAGAATCATCTGGAAAGCCAACTGAAACTGACTCCTGAGCCCTACCTTCAGAGTCAGCTTCAGTTAAGTTTGGGTGGGGTCCAAGGGTTTGCATGTATAACACATTGCTAGTTGATGTTATGCTCCTAGTCTGGGAAATGGTACTCAATAAATGTTCATTAAAGATTTCAAGGAATTCTAAATTAGTTTTTAAATTTGATTTAAATGGGATCCCTGGGTGGCGCAGCGGTTTGGCGCCTGCCTTTGGCCCAGGGCGCGATCCTGGAGACCCAGGATCGAATCCCACATCAGGCTCCCGGTGCATGGAGCCTGCTTCTCCCTCTCCCTCTGCCTATGTCTCTGCGCTTCGCTCTCTCTCTCTCTGTGACTATCATAAATAAAAATAAAAAAAATAAAAAAAAATGAAAGTAAAAAAATAAAACAAAAAAAAATAAATTTGATTTAAATGCCTTTCATAAAAGCATTTCATAAGTTACCCAGAGTAAGGTAAACACTAAGTCCTTGCTACTTAAAATGGGGTCTTTTAACTACCTACATAGGCTTTACCCAGGGGCGTATTAGGAATGCAGAAGTTCTGGCCCCAGAAGGGACTCAGTGAATTAGAATCTCCATTTTAACCTGATTGCCTGGTGATTAGTATGCACATTAAAATTGAGAAGCACTGGTCTTGTGTGTGTGTGTGTTTCATTGGTATTATTTTGGAGTAGTTTTAACAATCTCCATAAAAACAGCTTTTGGGCAGCCCAGGTGGCTCAGCGGATTAGCGCCGCCTTCAGCCCAGGGTGTGATCCTGGAGAACTGGGATTGAGTCCCACGTCAGGCTCCCTGCATGGAGCCTGCTTCTCCCTCTGCCTGTGTCTCTGCTTCTCTCTGTTTCTCATGAATAAATAAATAAAATCTTTTAAAAAACCAAAACAAAGAAAACAACTGGCTTTCACAGAGCATTCCATCTGTATATTTTCCATGTCCTTTGTTTTCCTACTGATGATACTATTGAGTGCATTTTTCTCTTTAAGTGCACCAATTAAGCTTTTAAAAAGCTTTAAGTGGGGACACCTGGGTGGCTCAGTCGGTTAAGTGACTTGGTTTTGGCTCAGGTCATGATCTCATGGTTATGGGTTGGAGCTCCACATCAGGCTTTGTGGTCACCGTGGAGTCTGCTTCAGATTCTCTCTCCCTCTCCCTCCCTTTCTGTCTCAAATAAAATCTTAAAAAATAAAAAGCCTTAAGCATTTAAATTAGGCAGTGGATTTAAGTTTAATCATTATTCACTGAAACGTTTTTTTTTTTAAGATTTTATTTATTTCTTCACATGAGACAAAGACAGAGAGAGAGGCAGAGACATAGGCAGAGGAGAAGTAGGCTCCTTGCAAGGAGCCCAATGTGGGACTTGATCTCAGACCCTGGGATCATGCCCTGAGCCAAAAGCAGACATTCAACCAGTGAGCCACCCAAGCATCCCTGAATCTTCCTTAATAAAGATTTTTGAAGGCTGTAAGTTAAAAGGTCAGGACATTTTCCTGACACCAAGACACAAAAGGATGTAAAGGTAAAATGACTATTGAAATGGTAAATTATTTCAGCAAAAAGATAATAGTAAAGAAACATATCAGAAATGAATTAGAGAATAGAAAGGCTTCACTGTAATAACAGTTTTGCAGAATTTAACATCTCTGTTAAGTTACAAATTGCAATTTCTTAAAAGCAGCTATGGATTGAAGATTAACTAGATGCTTTAATATGTTGACCTATGTATATTTTTTATTTTTTTAAAAGATTTTATTTATTTATTTATTCATGAGAGACAGAGAGGCAGAGACAGAGGCAGAGGGCAAAGCAGACTCCATGAAGGGAGCCTGATGCACGACTCAATTCCATGACCCCAGGACCACGACATGGACAGAGGCAGATGCTCAACCACTGAGCCACTCAGGTGCCCCTTTTTACTTTTTATTTATGTTGAACAAGCCAACATATAGTACATCATTAGTTTCAGATTTTTTACTTTTAATATAAAGTATATTTTTGTGTATTTTTAACATAAATAAATGTAATGTTGAGAAATAACATTGTTCTTCTGATGTTTTTCCTGATACTTGTTTGCACACTGCCTAATTAGCAATGTTTAGTAAAATTGTAATTATTCATTTAGTA